TTTCCTGTTCAGTGTTTATCTCAACTCCTAAGTTAAAATTGCTTTGATGCATTTTTAGCTACTGAATTCTTTTGAGCAAAGAGAAAGGTTTTCCTTTGAGTGAAATGATTGTCAGTGCTGTAATGTTTTTCCTACCATAACCAGAGCGGAATACCCTGGAGTAGTCTCCACTGTTGAATCCAGTAGGTGAATGACGACAGTTTGCTGGGGGCGTGCGTGGTGCTGGTGGGGTCTCAGGAAAGTCTTCAGAAAACTTGAGGAAAGGGGCTCTCATCTGGGGATGAGAGACCCTGAGGAGCGGAGGGGGTGCCGTGGGGAAAAGGGGAGCCCATGCCTGTAGCCAGCATACCACCCACACCCAAGTGCTGACCCAGCTTCCAGGTCCTCCTGCTGTGCCTGGACTGGGTGTTTTGTGTGAAGACAATGGTGTTTGTTCACAGTAGACTTTAGAACAGAGCTGACGCTCAGCCCTTCTGTGACCTGTGCTCCTGGGAGCCTGCTACCTTGTGGCCGTGCCTCCCGTTTTTCTTGCCCACCCAAGTCCCAGTGCCTGTCGTGCCATCACAGCCCCGGTGCCCTCTGTGCTGCCTCCTGCCCCAGTGCCCAGGCCGGCAGTCCTGTCTTTCCCCAGGCCTCCTGCCCTCCCCAGGCAGTCTCAGGCCTCCTCTTCCTCTGCCCCCCCGCCAGGCCCAGGCCCAGTCCCAGGCCCGCGCCTGCGACCCCTCTGTTCTTTCAGGCAGCCCCTGTAAGCTCCCCACACGTCAGACCTGCGCTTGTTCCCTGCCTTCTTCCCTTGCTCTCTGTAGAGGCTGTGCTCCCAGAAAAGCTTGTCGTCTCCTCCAGGCCACTAGATGCCACTGCCTGCACCTTCTCAGAGCCACCACTCTGTCCTTTCCCCTCGCCCCTGAATTCTCATCCACATGCAGACATCTGCCTCATCTTCCCAAGGGTCTTTTTTGACCCCACATCTCCTGACACCCCTCTTTTGTCCTCTACTACCAAGGTTCATGGGGGGACCTTCTGCCTGCATCTGTCCTCGCTCCTCCCTGTTCTCTCTTGTACTCAGTCCGGCCAGCGTTTTGCCTCCCTGAGCTGAACTGCTGTTGTCGTTGAGTCGTGGGCACTGTTGTCCTCCACTTCAGCACCTTGCTGTCGGTGAGAGTTCAGATGGCTTGACATGCCAGTGCTGCGTGTGACGGTGATCATCTCCTGGGACAATCCCAGTGAGGTTATAATGGCTTTTTATGTTAGCCTGTCCAGGCCTTGGCCCTGAATGTTGTCCACATCCAGTGCCTGGGTGGTTGGCGTGGAATGACGTTCATGCCGGCCTCCCTTAGCGTGGCACCTCACTACAGGAACCCGGTGTGGGGATCAAAGCTTCTGTGTGGCCATGCTACTCGTGCTGCTCCATGCGTCTGGCAGGTGTCAGGTGGTGTGCTTGTTTTGAGAACTCTCTCCTAGTGGCTGTCCTGTTGCGGAGCTCAGGTCAGACTCCCTCCTTCTGTGGGACCTGCAGCTGTAGGTCAGACCCCCTCCTTCCGTGGGACCTGCAGCTGTGCGCACGCCCTTCCTCACCTCCCGCCCAGCCGCAGGCTGCTCCTGCATGAGAGCTCTGGCCGAGGCCTTGGTAGTCTGGCCCACTCCAGCTCAAGGCCCTCATTGTATAGAGCAGGCAACTCCTGGTGCCCCCAAGGCCCCCAGCCTCCTGCCTGTGTCCAGGGCCTCACCAGCAAGCCCTCCCACCTGTCCCCACACCCTGCCCATGGCCCAGCAGCAGGGCTCTTCCTGCTTTCCTGAGGGAGGTTCTCACTGGCCAGGTGGCTGGTCCAGACTCGGCTCAGGGACCTGGCACCTCTCCCTCTGCGTGCCCTCCCCACAGGTACTTGCCAGCCTGTTGCCTGTCCTGTAGAGTGCCCTCAGGAGTGGGCAGCCCAGTGGCTGGTGTAGGCTAGGTGTGACGCCTCCTTGAGTGAATTGTGGCTTCCTGCCAAGAAGGAGGTGGAACTCACGCTGTGACTGACAAACCTCGACTGTACACAGTAGTGACCAGGTAAGATTTAGAGAGGCAAACTGGCAATATGCCAGCCAGGCCCCAGGTAAGATGAAGACCCTCTAGTACAGAAGCAGCTAGAAACCTGCGTGGGCAGCAGGAGGTGGCTGATTCCACAAGGCCCCAACAGGCAGTGCTGGCAGGCACCTTGGATGCTCAGGCAGGATGGCAGGGTTGAAGGGCTCTGTGGGACTGGAGCTTAATGGAGGCTCTCTCGTGTGCGCGCGTGTGTGTATTGCTGGGGACTGAACCCAGGGCCTTGTGCATGCGAGGCAAGCACTCTTCCAACTGACCTGTATCCCCAGACCCTGGAGTCTTGCTTTTTGAAGTTGGGTTTAGATGAGGTTTCCTCAGGGAAGGTCACTTGGCACCGTAGACACCCTTGGGATTTCTAGGGAGAGTGGACAGCCACACTGTCCCATGGTTCTGTGACAGAAACACGTCACCATAGAACACTTAGTTTGGACTAAGGCCTGGGAAGTTGTGGAGGACAGCAACCTCAGAACACTATGCTGTGTCCCTGAGAGTCACTTTGAAATCCTCACCCCAGGCGATAGTGTTGGCAGGCGAGGCTTTTAGAGTGATGAGGCCTGAGGGTGGAGTCATCCTGAGGGGGTTAGTGCCTTGTGGAAGAGACCCCAGAGGGCTCCGGGCCCTTCCACCATGTGAGAAGTTGGCAGTCAGGCCTTCGCCAGACACTTGATATGCCAGTGCTAGGACCTCAGACAGACTTCAGCCTCCAGAACTGTGAGAAGCGCATGTCTTGCTTCTTGGCCACCCACTCTCTGTAAGTTATTTTTTCATTTTTCATAGTAGTTGAAAGTGGCTAAGACAACTAGGCAGATGAGGGGTGCTAGCAGATGAGGCCTCATTTGGGCGATCCTGCAGCCACACTGCATGGAGCTCGAGGGCGGATCATGTGAGGTGCCCCACAGGGTTACCTCCTTCAGAGAGGTGCAGTTGCTCCATCTGAAGTGGGTGGAGAGTCTGGCAAAAACTGCCAAAGTCAGTCTGCACGTGATCGTTGAAGATACACGTTAATATACCTGAAGAGACAGGAAGGCGTCCAGCAGAAACAGAAAAGGAAGAAATGGCAGAAAACCAAGTTGAATTCTAGGAAATGAAAAGGACAGTAGCCGGGATGACAGACTCTGGTCTGGACACAGTCAAAGGCAGGATTCCTGAGTGAGCGGTAACTTCACAGAATTGACCCAGACTGCAGCACCAGGGGACATAGTGATAAAATAAACATTCAAGGTCTTGAATTCAGGCAGGCCCAGAGCCAGCTCTGCCTTGGACGTGACACTCATGTGAGTAATAATAATAATAGCCTTTTGGTTTAAGCTAGTCACAGGCCAGTTTTCTTTCACTTGCCTCCCAAAGAATCTATTTTTCGTGCAAGACCCTGTTGAGGAGTGTCGGTGCCCTTCTTGGTGGTGGGCTCCTGATGGTGAGCTGGAGGAGCTGCCAGTCAGAGGGCTTCCCACAGGACAGCATTGGCATCTACAGGAGAGATCCCACGGAGGGGCGCACTTTGTGGGCACATGAAGTGATAGGTGAATGCGTCCCATGCGTGGGCCTCTGAAGAGTCTTGCTGCCTGGCCAGGTCTGTGCTGGGCTTTAAGGCACAGAGGAAGCGGGACCTCCAGTGTCTGCTGCCAGAATCTGGAGGAGCCTGTGTCTCTGAGCTGGGAGGGGGAAGCTCCGGTTCTGCTCCTCCTGAAGTAGTATTCGAGGCATAGCATGTAAATCTTCCTCTTTCCCTTGTTGATGGTGGCAGTGCTGCATATCTGTGTCCCTCAGGAAGAGGGTTTTAGCTCTCACTGTGGCTCCAACAGGCGTCTTCTACCTGTCAGCAGGTAGAAGCAGACTCCCAGGGGTGGCGGGTTCCTGTGGGAGGCTGAGCTGGAGTGGGAGGGTCCCGGGAGTGCCCTGGAGCACCGCCTGCTTACTGACTTCCAGGACCACCCCTCAGGCTCTTCCCACTGTGAGCAGCGGAGGCACTGAGTGTTGGACTCATCCCAGAGACACTACAAGGGACTTGACTGAGTTTCAGCTGTTTCGCCCCATGTGATGACTGGCAGGAGAGTGTGAGTCCCAGTCTTTGGGCTCAGCTTGTCTGCAGCATCCATGGAGTGCCCGGTGTGGCAGTGCAGAGCTAGCCCAGATCAGTGCCGGGCAGATGCTCAGGGGCACTCGACTCCGAGCCACATCATCAGCCTATTTTGTATTTTTACTAAGAGATAGGGTCTTGGGGCTAGGGTTGTGGCTCAGCGGTAGAGCGCTCGCCTCGCCCGTGCTAGACCCTGGGTTCAATTCTCAGCACCACATAAAAATAAATAAGTGAAATAATGGTCTTGTGTCCAACTACAACTAAAAAATAAATATTTATTTTTTTTAAAAAGAGATAGGGTCTCACTGAGTTGCTTGGGGCCTTGCTAAGTTGCTGAGGCTATCTTTGAACTCGCGATCCTCCTGCCTAAAAGTCATTTTTGCAGTTGACATTTTTACAGTTGACTCCCCAGGGGAGTCTCCAGGGTCCTGTGATCTTCCCAGGGGCGAGCCTGCCTAGGCAGGAGGCGGCCAGCATGTAGGCCTGTTTTCCCCTTCCCCACAGGTGTAGGTCATGTTGCTACAAGTCATTTGAAAATGTCCTCTGCTTCATCCCAGGTTCCCTCCCGGTTTAGGACATGTGTGACCTCTGTGGGTGCGGAGGCGTGGGCTTCCATCAGCACTGTGCCCCCGCCGATGGTCTGGCCTGGGCTCTGATCCATGAGGGCACCCCTGGTCTCTGGAGGACCCCAGGGCTCACTCCTCCACACCCCGGGTGGGTCGCCCATACGTGTGGACCGTGTGGACCGAGGAGGTGATGGAAGTCCCCCCAGGAGGGCTCGCTGTTCGCTCATGTGCGCAGTCACCCTCTCTTTGCCTTCCCTTTGCTGCTTTCCAGGAGTTTGCGGCACTCACGAAAGAGCTCAATGTCTGCAGGGAGCAGCTCCTGGAGAGGGAGGAAGAGATTGCTGAACTGAAGGCAGAGCGGAACAATACCAGGGTGAGTCAGTGGGCACCTGACTGCTGTCTGCCTCTGGCCACCATGTGGGGACCTCCTGGAGCTGCTGTCCCAGAACTGCAAGGCCATCTGTGCTGCCTTTAAACTCGTTTCACGCTTCTCATGCTGAGCAGTGCGTGCTCGGTCGGCCCAGCACTGGAGTTGCTTGAAACTTGCAGTGGGACCTAATGATGCTGTGGTACAGCCGAGGGGGGAATTTCTTGCTTCCCACAGAGTGGAAGGGATTCTGACTAGTTTAGCGTGACATTGTAAGGGACTCACATGTGAAAAGTGAGCTCCCACATGTCTCTCTGGCCTTCTGCTTCAGCTGTTGCTGGAACATCTGGAATGCCTGGTCTCCAGACACGAGCGCTCTCTCAGGATGACAGTGGTGAAGAGACAGGCACAGTCTCCCGCAGGTGTGTCCAGTGAGGTGGAAGTGCTCAAAGCGCTGAAGTCACTGTTTGAACACCACAAAGCTCTGGATGAGAAGGTACTGTTAGCCCTGGACTGATGGTTCTGGATTTGCACATGAGCTATTGGGCAGGCTTCATCCTGTGTGTGCCAGTACGTTCATTCTGTTCTCATGCTATAGAGATGGCAGATAGCTTCTTGAATTCTAAGAGCTCGCTGGCCTAAGTGTCTTAACAGTGATTAGTTCTGTGTGTTAATTTTCTGTTAAGAATTAAATAAGCTGTTTATTCAGAGGCAGAATTTTACTGGGATTTCTCTCCCACTGAGCTACATCCCCAGCTATTTTTTTTTTTTTTTTTTAATTTAAAGCCATTAAAAAGGAAGTTTTCTTGACAGTAATGGCAGTGAAAAACATGATAGGTCCTCTGTTGTACTCACTGACATTAGGGTGACTGTACCCTAAGAACAAAGTGAATGCATTGGCACACACAGGAGCCCGTGCTCTGGTTTACAGGTGAGAGAGCGACTGCGAGTGGCACTGGAGAGGTGCAGTCTCCTGGAAGAAGAGCTGGGAGCAACACACAAGGAGGTGAGCTGTGCCAGCACCGTGGTGCGTGGCCTCATCCTTTAGTCTGAAGAGGAGCATGGGGCCTGTCTAGTGGGAGTCGGGTTTTATTCACTTCTCTGATTGAGGACCAGCGGCTGGGGTCGTGTGAGGACCAGGCCATGAGACTTGGTGCAATTGCAGGATCTCCAGTCCTCGTTGGTCCAGCAGATGCAGATTCTGATCCTGAGGCTGCCCTGGGTGCCATGGGGAGCGGCTGAGGGTCATGCTTTTCCAAAAGGCCTTTTGCTGCTGTCACTTTTCTTAGAGTCATCATGTTCTTGTATCTTTTTGGTTTCAGCTGATGATTCTAAAGGAGCAGAATAATCAGAAGAAAGTGGCGGCGGGGGGAGTGCCTGACGCAAGCCAGGAGCAGGAGAGCACGCCCAGCACCAATGGAAAGGCAAGTCCTGCGTTCCCTGCTGTGGCCACCTCATGCGGGGCTTCTGGGAGGCTGTTGCCAAAGTGCCACCACAGCTTGAGCAGCAGGAGGGCTGTGCTGCCCAGCAGAGTGCACAGGCCTCTCTCTCTCGTCTCTCTCTCTCTTTTTTTTTTTTTGCTGGGACTGAACTGGGATTTCTCTTCCACTGAGCTGCACCCTTAGCCATTGTTAGTTTTCATTTTATTTGAGGCAGGGTCTCACTGAGTTGCCCAGACTGGCCTTGCACTTGTGACCCTCCCACTTTGGCCTCCTGAGTAGCTGGGGCTACAGGCCTGTGCCTGGCTTGTAAATCGGTTTCGATGGTCCCTGTTTCCTAGAAGCATTTTATTTCACAGCACACCAAGCAAGGCTACTTAAGGGCGTGTGTCTTCCTGTAGAGATCTTCTGACGGCTCCTCCAGCCACGAGGAAGACCTGGCTAAAGTCATCGAGCTCCAGGAAGTCATAGACAAGCAATCACGGGAGCAGAGCCAGATGAAGGAGCGCCTGGCCACCCTCTCCAGCCATGTGGCGGAGCTGGAGGAGGATCTGGACACAGCTAGAAAGGATCTCATCAAGTCTGAGGAGATGAACACAAAACTGCAACGAGATGTCCGTGAAGTGAGTGGTGTTAGAAATGGCAGTGCTGCCGGCACCTTTGGGGCATGTGGGACACTTGGTTTCTCTCTGCTTTTTCCAGTCCCTTCCAGCCTCGGGGCTGGTGTAGAGCAGCAGGGACGGAAAACAGCACTGTGTGCCTGGCGTCCACGGTGGGAGGGCCTCCTCTCTACGGCCAGTCTTGGCGTCCCTCACCCGACCCACTTCCTTTGGCCACTGCTTAGCCGGTGTGCGCAGGCACTGCTGGTTGTCTGCAACCGGCCGGGGAGGGCTGCGGACACTCCCTCCTCTCCCCACCTTCCCTCTGTCTCAGGAGGCCGGAGGCCAAACAGTGGTCCCACTTGGGTCACGTTGGGATCATCGTGTGAAAGCACATGCAGCTACACTAATTTCTGACAAACGTCTGTGTCTGTGCACCCGTGAGAAACCAGGGACTCTTATAAATCAAATGAGGGCTGGATACTCTGCTGTGCCACCTTTTGTCATTTCCTAACCTGCTCTTTGTGCCTGCACACGACCATCCGACCATCCTGACCCTTCAGTGTGGATGTAAGAACAGGGATCAGTGAGCAACTTCATGGAAGGGTTGAGAACAAAGGAAAATATTTGCTCATATTAGATCCTATTATATTTTGGCTACAGTAGAAGATTATGTGGCAGAAAGAGTAAAATTCTTTTTAGGTTTTTTTTATTTCTTAATTTTTGGTCAGTCCTGGGTATTGGGAGTTGAACCCAGGTGCTCTCTACTGCTGTCCTTTGTTCTTTTCATTTTTATTTTGAAACAGGGTCTCGCTAAGTGCCAGACTGACCTCCTACTTCAGCCTCCCAAATTGCTGGGATTGTAGGCTTGTGCCACTGTGTCTGGCAAGACCTATCTTTTAAATATTAAGACTTTGTCATCATTAGTGACTTAGTAAACAGGGAAGGACCTAAAAACGGTGAGTTTGTTGGCGGTATTGTGTGAATAAAATTGTGGTCCTGGTCTCAGCATTGGGCAGTGTGTAGGATTCATTTTGCTACACACTTTGGGTGGTTGCGTCCAGTTAAATTAGCCTGTGATCTCTGTTTGCATTTGACAACACGGTTGGATTTTGTAACTACAGAGTTTACTAGAGGTTTTATCCGTCTAGTAAAAGATGGAGAAGGAAGGCTGTGTGTTGCTTGACGCAGACGCTTTCCTCATCTGCCTTCCTCCCTCTGAAATGTCTCTGTAGGCCATGGCCCAGAAGGAGGACATGGAGGAGAGAATCACGACCCTCGAGAAACGCTACCTCGCTGCACAGCGTGAAGCCACATCTGTGCATGACCTCAATGATAAGCTTGAAAACGAAATCGCAAACAAAGACTCTCTGCATCGGCAGGTAATGGGTTTCACAGGCCTTCGTCTGGCTTTAATTATTAATGAAGATAAAGGTATTTTTCCTAAGTTTCATGTTGAAAATATAAAGTCCAAATATTACTTTTCATGATCTTACAATATTGCGATCAAGAGGGAGGGTTATTGCAGCCTACGAGGAACTGAGGCTTCACCACTTCATGGAGCTGCTTGATTCTGCTGTTCCCATGACAAGCTGACCTGGTGATTGCGAGCTCATCTCGTAGGAAAGGAGCAGAGTGTTGGACAAGTCCAAGGCTCTGGCTACCAGTTGATAACGGGTTGCTGGCAAACTTAAAAGTGAAGTGCGTAGAATCAGTGTCTCCTGTAGTTTGAAAACCTTATTTACTCCTGTTTCTCTGTAGTCCCAGGGAACTGAGAGCTAACCAGAAAATCCTGCATCAGTGTTCTTGAAAATAAAGTATCCGGTATTTAATAAGGAGCATTGTTTAACCAAAAATAAAATATTAGGCTGTTATTAAAAGGGATATTTGGAATAACTTTTACCAGGCTATGCTAGTGTGATATATTTTGAGGGTTTAGAGCATGTATGTATGTCCATATGAAGAAGATGTGGACAGATGTTAGCTGCTTAGCAGCTAAAAACTTTTAGGTGTTTTAAAAAATTTCTTCTATGTTCAAGTTTTTAGAGTTAGGAAGTTTTTTTTTTTTTTTTTTTAAACCTTTGTTCCATTTATTCTATTTTTTATGTGGTGCTGAGGATCAAACCCAGGGCCCCCCACATGCTAGGTGAGCGCTCTACTGCTGAACCACAACCCCAGCCCCAAGAAGATTTTTAAAAAAGAAGAAGAAATGTGCCTTTAGAAACTCAGCTGAGCAGCTCGTCTGGCTCACGAGAGCCCTGGGCCACACACAGGCAGTTTGTGGCAGGAGGCATGGCCTCCAGGTGTGGGCTGGTTGCTTTTGGCGAGGTTGGTACTAACCCCTCTCACCTTGATTTGTCACTGAGAATGAGGGGGCTCTTAGAGAAAACTTGTTTTCCTTAAGGTCAGGGACCTTCATTTGTTCTTAAAAAATCACTTTCTTAAGAAAATAGCATGGGGCTGGGGATGTGGCTCAAGCGGTAGTGCGCTCACCTGGCATGCGTGCGGCCCAGGTTCGATCCTCGGCACCACCTACAAACAAAGATGTTGTGTCCACCGAAAACTAAAAAATAAATATTAAAATTCTCTCTCTCTCTCCTTAAAAAAAAAAAGAAAAGAAAAGAAAATAGCAAGTAGGTTGTCAAGGGGAGTTTGGGGCTTGGAGGTCAAACCTGATAAGCAGGGCCAGGGAAGCCCGGCCTGAGCGGGCACCTGAGCAGTCTGTCGAGTGGTGACAGAAAGCACTAGACGATTCCCACGTCCTGACGCTGGGCTCTCTTCCACAGACAGAGGATAAAAACCGGCAATTGCAGGAGCGCCTGGAGCTGGCGGAGCAGAAGCTGCAGCAGACCCTCAGGAAGGCTGAGACGCTTCCGGAGGTGGAAGCGGAGCTGGCCCAGAGGGTGGCGGCACTCTCCAAGGTGTGCGGGTGGCTCTGGTCCCATGGCAGGACTGTAGCTGTCAGTCAGTGCAACTGGACCCATGTGTAGCTCAGATTTGCTCTCAGTGCCTTGCCTGGACGGGATGCCTTTTAAATGTCAAACCTGTCCTCCTTTGTCATCTCCTGAACCTCCCTCCAGTTCCTTCAGGTACATACCACATAGGCTAGAGGTTTCCATAAAAGAGGATCATTTTTTCTCAGAAAAAGAAAAATGCCATTCTCTTTAAAGACAGACTTGTCAAACTTTTAATTTTATTCTTTTGCAATAAAAGTACAGTTTTTTGTTTGTTTTTGAGGTGGGGTCTCATTGTGTTGTGCAGGCTAGCCCTGAACTCCTAGCTCAAGTGATCCTCGTGCCTTGACCTCCCAAGTACCTGGAGCTATAGCCACGGGCCACCATGCCTGTCTTTAAAAATGACTTTTTGATGGATGTGGTGCCTGTAATCCCAGCAACTCAGGAAGCTGAGGCAGGAGGATCACAAGATTAAAGCTAGCCTCAGCAACTTAGCAAGACCCTGTCTCAAATGGAAAAATAAAAAGAGTTGTAAATATACTTAGTGGTTAAATGCCCCTGAGTTCAATCCCCAGTACCAAAAAAAAAAAAGTTTTTTGAGTAGCAGCCATTCCTCTGTTGACCAGCTCTTGGCGAGACACATGCAGGAGCACTCCCTGCCCTTGGTTCTCAGGTCCCCGGGAGAAGCAGGCAGTGAAGAGGCTGCTCCAGAGTGATGTAGTAGGTGCTCAACTCAGGCATTCACACAGGCCCTGGGAGGCCTCCTTGCCAGACCCCCGGCCTTCCTGGGGGTAGGAAGTACTTAGTGCTGCAGGGCAGGAGGCACCAGCCAGCCTTCTTGTCCCCTGGCAGGGATCCTACTCGCCTTGGCTAGGAGGCAGTCTCCTACTGGGGAGAGGTGGGGAGAGGGGTCCTTGGACAGAGGTGCAGTGTCCTGTTGCTCAGGCAATCTTGAGGCAGGCGGGTGGCAGCCATATTTGCCTGACTGTCCCATGAAGCAAGAGTATTGGCCCACTGTGACCACCTGGTTCCCTTGATGATCCCCTTTTAAATTCTCGGTTTCTTCTCTTCCTGCTTTCTTTCCTGTCCTTGTCGGCTTTGTAGTCTGACCCTTTGTCTTCTGGGAGCTCTGCTGCTAAGGAAGCTAAAGTGTTGGAACTTACTTCCAAGCTTAGGAAGGTAGACGTGTGCCTTGCTCCTTCCCGTGCTTGCTGCTTTCTGCTTTACGTGCTGACTGACCAGCAGTCTGAGGATGGGGAAGTCACGGGTCGCTGAGGTCAGGCACGTGGTGGGGGGCACTGAGCCGTCGTCAGCACCGCGGGCTTCAGAGACAGCGCTCAGGGCCGGTTGTCTCATGGTTAGCCCCCGCAGCCGCGGGGCCGCGGGGACAGTGTGCACAGGGTGTGCCTCGCGTGAGGCCGCCCCACCGAGCATGCCACGCTTGCTGCTGTTGCTGCAGTGGGACACAGCATGCCACCCACAGAGGTGCGTGTGCGACACTCACGGCGTCTCTGACAGGCTGAAGAGAGACACGGTAACATCGAAGAAAGGCTGCGGCAGATGGAGGCGCAGCTGGAGGAGAAGAATCAGGAGCTGCAGCGGGTGCGTACACGCTAGAGCCGCGAGGGGCGCAGAGGCTGCCTGCTGATGTGTGCAGCCTGGCTGGCAGCAGGAGCCTGTGCCCACAGGCAGGTCTGCGGAGGCAGACTCTGCTTCTCTCGCCCACAGGGAACTGCTCCAGGCACATGTGGGCTTCATGGGAGTCCCTCAAAGCTGTGTGCTAGCTGGGGGTGCCTTGAAGTGTAGAGCCAGGTCCCCATCCAAGGTGAGACACACCTGCTCAGGGTGTGACACTGAAGTCCCCAGTTCAGGTCAGGAGCCTGACCTCTGTCCCAAATCCCGGGTTATCATTCGCCACCCAATGGTAGTTGCCGGGGCAAGAGGAACACCGAGATGGCCTGTGGTGAGAGCGCTAGGACACAGTGCCGCAGAGGTGTGTCTCTGAGTCCTGAGTTTTCCTGGAACTGGGCGGGGGGTGGGGGGGGGGGCGGTGCGTGTAGGGCAAGGTCAGGACACAGGAGGCCTGAGTTCAGGCTGGATTCTACCTGTGTAAGTGAGTGGAGGAGGCACGGACATCTGATTGTCGAGCCGATGCACCTCACCTCAGCCAACTTTCTGACATTAATTTAAGGCAGTTAGGTTTTATTTTCCCAAAATTCTGTGTTCGTGGCCATGCGCTTTAGAGCATTGAAGAGCTTCCAGGAGATGGTTTTGATGCCTGCCTAAAGGTTGCATCCTCCCGCCACTCAACGTGCACACTTTGATCCCATGGGCAGAGTGACATTATGTATTAGAGGACATACATCATTACTGTCAAAACCAGTTCATGAAGTTGTGAAGGATAGACTTTGGGATCGAAATAATTCTACCAGTTAAAAATAAACATTAAGCTGTTTTTACTTTAAAAATACTCAGATGTTATTAGATGCCATGGTCGACACCTGTGATCCCAATGACTTGGGGGCTTAGGGTCTCAGGTTTAAGGCCAGATCAGCAATCTGTCGAGGCCCAGTCTCAAGATAAAAAGGGTTGAGGAGGTATCTCATTGGTAAAGCATCCCTGGGTTTAATCCAACCCACCCCACCCGCCCGCCAAAAGTTAGATGCTAACAGGAAACAAGCATCTACCAAAAAGGAATCTCAGGTATTCTGTATCCTGTGTGATGTGTCCTCCTTTAGATAAGGACTGTTGCTCTATGTGAGGCACATTGTGAGGGCTGTATATTTAAGATTTGTCCCTGAGTTTTCCATATCCATGAGTTGTTCTGATCGGCACATGGAAGTCCACAGGATTGGTAGCCGGAAGGAGCAGCTGGAGCGTGATAGCAAGTGAATGGCTCACGTTGGTCCTTGGTACTTTTAAAGTAATGCTCCTACCTCTGCTCAAAGTCTCAGGTCTTTGTTGGTCCTATTTTAGGCGAGACAGAGAGAAAAAATGAATGAAGAACATAACAAACGTCTCTCAGACACTGTTGACAAGCTCCTTTCAGAATCCAACGAGAGGCTGCAGCTCCATCTGAAGGAGAGGATGGCTGCGCTGGAGGACAAGGTGGGTGCTGGGCAGGCCCTGCAGGGCCTCCCTTCCAGAGCAGCCATTACCCTCTTCTCCAGGAGAAGGCAGTGGGGCTGGGGGTTCTGCTGTGGGGGGAGGGCACGGCAGTCTCCGGGCTGCACACAGCCTTACTCAAGCATGAGTGGCAAGTTGTCTGTCTCTCTGACTCCAGGACACGAGTAGGTGAGCAGTTTCTATAAAGGGCCTGATGGTGAGCATTTTAGGCTCATTTTAGTAATCGAGAATAATTTAGTAAAATAACGTCACACTAGTTAGTAATCAGCACAGAAGCAGCCGCGGACAGCTCACAGGTGAACGGTGCATCTTTTTTCTAATTGGCTTGTATAGGCCTGCACTGCCATCTCACTGAGCCCCGCCTCTCTCCTCTGCTCTTCTGTGGAAGTTGATCTGGTCTTGTTCATACACACAACGCATGGCGTAGTAGGAGAGATGGAATCAACTAAAACCAGACGCTCCCATCCCAGGCCCCGCCTTCCATCTCCTCACCCGCTTGGAAGGAGGTCTCAGCCCTGCCTCTGGGGCTCACATCTCCCAGGAGCCGTTCCCTGCGTCTCCAGCTGAGCTGGGATTGGGTGTGCTGGTGGGCATGTGCATCCCTGGAAGTGCAGCTGGGAAGTGTCCCTAGACTGGCACTCAGCTGGGTCATGCAATTTGAAAGGATCAGTGGTGATTACTCCTCATTAGGGGACACGTTTATTTTACACAAAACTAGTTACAAAATACATTATTAGATGCCGCACAGAATGGCTCATTTTAAGGTAGAGGAATGTTTTTAGCTTTGTTCTAATTTTACATTTGAAACTTAACTTCAGGTTTCAATTGACCAGTACATTGCACAGCCTCGTAGTCGGTATAAACTAGTTTATCTGATTAAAGTGAACTTGCCCATGAACCTGGCTAAGAGCCTACCTACATTTAGCAGCTGGGTCAGTAAAGGAGGGCATTTACATGGCGAGAAGGATTATCAGGTGCATCCAGCCCTGGGCCTGGGCACTGCTCCCTGGCACACCCAGCAGTTCCTTCCTTCCCTGTGCTGCTTTGTCTTTCAGACAGAGGCACCTGTAGTGTGTCACCCGGGACATTTTAAAGTCTCAACTGATGGATGCTCTCTCTTTCAGAATTCTCTACTGCGAGAAGTTGAAAATGCAAAAAAGCAATTAGAAGAAACGCAACATGATAAGGTACTTAAATGCTCTGATTCATTGAGAAACCCGTTAAGAGCTGAATTGAGTAACTGTTATCACAGATATGTGGTGCAAGTTGAGAGAAGCTTAGCTGACAGCTCTCCTAGGCTACTAACAGAAGATGTGTGCCTTTGTATTTGAGATACAAGTGTATGAGGCTAATATATTAGCAGAGACCTTTCATCAGGAACAGAGCTGTTGCTGGGTATGGTAGCACATGCCCAGAATCCCAGCAACTCAGGAGGCTGAGGCAGGAGGGTTGTAAGTTTGGGGCTAGCTTCTGCAACTTAGTGAGACCCTGTCTGAAAAGATAAAAAAAAATGAGTTGGGAACATAGCTCAGTGGTTTAGTGCCTGTGGGTAAATTCAGCCTCTAGAACCAAAAAGAAAATAAAAATATACAGTGTGGGCTGGGGTTGTGGCTAAGGGTAGAGTCCTTGCCTAGCACCTGTGAGGCACTAGGTTCGATCATCAGCACCACATTAAGAAAATAAAGGTATTGTATCTGTCTACAACTAAAAAAATTAAAAAATAAAAAGTGCTGTTAGGGCTGGGGCCAACTTAGTGGCAGCACATTGCCCAGTGTGCTCCAGGCCCTGGGTCCATCCCCAGCACTGAAGCAAACCAGCCGACCACACTGCTGTCCAGCAGAAATACAATGTAAACCACTTATGTGATTTTCAACTTTTTAGAATCCACGTTCGAAAAAGTATAAATAAACATGTAAGAGTAATTTATTTAATAGTGTGAGAATATCACGATTTTGTTTATCAATGGAAAACATCAGTGAGCTACTTATGTTCGTCTCATGTTCCGGCTTTGAATTCTGGACCCCACGAGCACAGCAGGTCAGTTGGGGCTGTGTTTTGAGGGCTCCATGGTCACCTGCAGTCAGTGGCCACTGTGTGGCAGTGCAGAACTGGAAGTGAGAGAAGGCCTGCAGGGGTGGCCAGCTGAGTCCTGGATGCCCCGCTCCCTCCTGGGAGTCCTGCTCTTTCTCCTCAACCCTCCTCTGATGGTCTGCTGTTTATCCCCTGTGTGACTTTGTAGTCACTGAGCATCACTTTCTATTCGTTAGGGTTTACCTCACAGGCCATCTCCGCATTCACATTTACTGTGGGGCTCATGGAGAAAATTTTCCCCGAAGGAAAATTGTTGTAACTAGTAATTTAGCCCGTTAGGGTTATGTTTGATATCTGAGCACATTTGTTGCAAATAGTTTGAAAACCTGAAAGACATCCTTGCAATGTGAGTCCCTGACTGTTTTATAGGACCAGCTCGTCTTGAACATCGAGGCCTTGAGGGCTGAACTAGACCAGATGAGGCTGAGAGGTGCTTCACTTCATCATGGGTATGGTATCGACAGACCTGCAAGTGTGTTCTAGCCTGTCCTGGCCTGTAGGTCGCCGAGCTGGGTGTAGCGCCAGCCTCACTGCAGGAAATGGGTGGCTTAGTAGCAGCAAGAGTGCAGAGGGACTGTGTCTCCAGAGGTGGGGCTTGAGCCAGGAGACACAGCCCTAGCAAACCTGGACACACAGGAGGTGGTTTGGAAGGTGGGGAATGCCTGGTTCGTCTTTGGGCATATTAGGTGCCTCAGGGAGGGCGGCACTGATGGTGTGGGGACCGGAGGACAGAGCCCAGGGTAAGAGGTGAAGCACTGCTTTCCCCGGAGCAGAAGCCATTCACACAGGGAGACACGGCCGAGGGAGGAGCTGATCCAGCCAGAGCTTGGGTTCTTTGACCTTCGCGGGTTTGGTGGAGCATTTCTGTTTATTTATTTATTTTGGTACTGGGAATTGAACCCAGTGTCACTCTACCATTGTACTACATCCCCAGCCACTTTTATTTTATTTATTATTTAAAAAAAAATGTTTTTAGACGTTGGTGGGCCTACGTGCCTCACACATGCTAGTCAAGTGCTCTACCACTGAGCCACAACCCCAGCCCCAACCACTTTTATTTTTTGAGACAGGGTCTTGCTAAGTTGCTTAGGGCCTCACTAAGTTACTGAGGCTGGCTTCAAATTTGTGATCCTCCTGCCTCAGCCTCCTGAGCCACGGGGATTATAGGTGTGCGCCACTGTGCCAGCTGGAGCTCTACTTGTTTTGAGGCACTGAAGTTGTGAGATACAGTCATTTTAAAAGCACTTGAGATAGGACTTTGCTTTGGCCGGTAGAGGACTGGGTCACCTGTCTTGGGAATGACCCCAGTAAAGTGCTCAGCACACAGAGCTTCTTGTCTTTTTCTTTCTTGTCATTCAGAGGCAGTCTGATTAAGAGTACCTTTTTTTGGTCGTTGTTTCTTTGAGGAAAATGGTCATTGAGTGAAAGTTAAACCTCAGCTAAAGTTTCTGAAGCGGTCAACTGGTGTCAGGCAGGTGCAGGAGACAGCACAGTGGTGGTGTAGGGGGAGCGCAGAGCCTGGTGGGCGTTCCTGCACTTGCAGACATCAGGCATCGTGTACTATGGCCTGGCCCACAAGCCACGATCAGACAGAGCCAGAGCGCGCTGTGTGAAAACCAGGGGCTGGACATCCAGGATGAGGGCCTCCTACCCACAGAGGGACGTGCTGTGGCCACAACAGGAGTCGCGGAGAGGTGCTGTTACTGGTTGGAGCCAGTCAGGGGTGTCTGGTGCCCACACGACTCTCGGGAGGCCACTGTGTGTGTGCCGCTTTCTGGAACAACAGAGGGAAGCAAAGAGGTGGACAGGCAGTAGAGTCGGGCAGTAGAGCAGGCAGTGTTTCAAGATGGAGAAGGGTGCCTGTGTTTGACATGGGAAAGAAGATGGGGAGAGGACATGTTTGCTCGGGAGCTCAAGGGGCCAGGCAAGATAGACCGCCTCACACTGAAGAGGCGAGGCAGAGAGGGTCCCGCTGTCCCTGGAGGCTGGCCTGCAGAGTCCACACCTGTCAGCTTAGAGAGGAGCAGTCACAGTGGGGATGGTTGGGCCAGGAGGAGGGGTAGGAGAGTGAGCTGAGAGTGCCTGCCCGGGGAGTGCCAGGCCCCAGGGCTTCCCCAGGGGCCTGGGAAGTGCCTGCTGTGGGCTGTGGAGGGGAAGGTGAGCCAGGAGAAGGGCATCGTGATTAGGAGGCGCGGTGGCTCCCCAGGATCTGCGTGCCACCTAGAACCGCCGGCAGATTGCCTGCAGAAGGCCTGCAAAGAAGGAGCAGGCTGATGGTCAGGAGCGAGGGAGCAGGTGAGAAGTAGCTGCAGGGTTCGACGTCTTGCCAGGACGTAAAGCAGGGAGAGGCTGTGAGCCCTGAGAGGAGCTGGCCTGCCTTTCACGCCCTGTCTGCAGGGCTGCTAGAGGGTCCTGAGGCTCGCCTGCATGACTTCCTGTGAGCAGATCTTTGCCTCTGAAGGATTTCTGAAATGAAGGCACAATGCCTTTGTTTGACAAGGATCCAGAGGTTCCCAGGATGCAGGCTCCGGGCTGCTGCAGTGAAGGCGGTGGTGGACTCTGCCTGGTTGACCCCTGATGCTCCCTCCTCCTCCTCAGGCCTTGGCCAGTGGGCACAGCGGGTCTCTTAGCTGCTTCACCCAGTCACCCAGCCTGCTCCTTCCTGAGGACTCTGCAGCCCAGGGTGTTGGTTTTGTCACCGGACCTGCATACAGGTCTGGAAACAGACACACAGCAGGCTAGGCCACACAGATGTGCAGCCAGGGCCTCCCAGGAACGCTTGTGTCTGACAGCTGTCACACCATGGATCTTGGCATGATTGGGGAAGCCACAGAGCACTACAAGGCCAGACTGGTATCCAGGTTCACCTCTTGCCAGCTGTGGGAAAGTACGGTGGAAATGCAGCCCCGCGACCTTGCGCTGGAGAGGGGTTCTCTCTGCAGACAGAGGCTGGAGGCCTGTCTTCCTCCATGCCAGTGGCCTCTGTGTGGGTTTTCCTGTGGTGATTGACGTTTTCCACACGAGGCCTGAAAGACTGGGGTGGAAATGCTGGCTGGGAGCAGGCAGCATGTAGCTCTGAGGGCACACCAGGGAGGTGCCTGCCTCAGTCCGCCTGCTGACGCCTTGCGTTCTGACAGGGGCGGGTCTGCTTGTCGAGAGGTGCTTGCTAGGTCCCTCCTCTAACACCCTCCTTTGTTTCCTGTTTCAGCCGCCCCCACCTGGGCAGTGTCCCAGACTTCAGGTTCCCTGTGGCAGATGGGCACATAGATGCCTACAGCACCAGTGCAGTGTTACGGCGCCCCCAGAAAGGCCGGCTGGCAGCGCTGCGGGACGAACCTTCCAAGGCAAGGCCTGGTGGGCGTGCCTCTGCTCGCAGGGGCGCCTGCTTGTCCTGAACCGGAGCTCTCCATAGGTCTCTCTCTCCCTTTTCCTGCCCCACTTTCCTCTTTCTGGCTAAGAGTCTACTTTTAAGTCCCTTGTGCCCTTTTTCTTTCTTTTTAAATATTTTTTGGTTGTTGGTATATCTTTATTTTTTATTTATTTATATGTGGTGCTGAGAATTGAACCCAGGGCCTCACGCATGCTAAGCTAGCGCTCTGCCACTGAGCCCCAGCCCCCCCCCCCCCCCCCCCTTTTTTTTTTTTTTTTAAGAAAAAAACAATCTACTTGCAAGCACAGTGCTGATGCTTGCCAGTTGAAGGGTGATTGAGAGTTAAAGGGTGCACTTGTGTTTCTGGTAGTGTGATGCCTGGGGTGATGGATTCACAAGAGAAAAGGGGTACCTTGGCTCATGGTCTTGGGACTTTTAGTCCTTGGTCCTTGGCCCTTGGCCCTGTGGCTTTGGGTGAGGGGCACATCACAGCAGGAGCGTGTTGGAGCAAAGCCACTCACCTCAGGAACTGAAAAGGAAGGGCCAGGTTCCCTCAGTCTCCGTGGAGGGCAGCCCCCAGTTCCTGAGTTCCTCCCACCCAGCCCACCTCCCAGAGGCTCCTCCACTGTCCAGTGCACCAAGCTGGGGGGCCCACACCTTCATCCTGTGGTCTGTCGCACAGCCTGCATCTGGGAACTGCTGGTAGTTGAGCACCACTTCCATGGACCCTCGACACAGGGCTGCTGTGTGCACAGACAGGCCCAGTGCCTGTGCCAGGTCATAGCCCAGTGGGGACATGCAGGAAAAAGAGAGGTGTGGCGGTGTTGGCCTTGCTGTGTGCGGGTCAGTGCAGAGCCCAGCGGCTCAAGACAGTGAGCATGTCTTGCTCAGTTGTGGGGCCAGGCACAGCCTGGCAGGATGGCCTCAGCTTGGGAGCACGTGTGGTCACAGGTTGCTGTCTCTCCAGGCGTGCCCACACAGCAATGGGCAGAGGCCTCAGGCCCCTGCTGTGTGCACCCTGGGTCCTCAGAGCACCTTGCTGGTCCCCTCAGAGCCCATGCTCTTTCATGTTGTGGGAATCTCACGTCATCGCTTCCCACTTTGCTTTCCTCATTCCAGTGAGCTACTGAGTCCTGCCCTCACTTGGGGGTGGTAGGAATCATCCTCCACCTCCCGCAGAGAGGAGCAGTGGAGAGAGTGGGCGTGTTCCTGAATTGTGCCAGCATGCTGGTGGCATGGGCCAGAAGCAGGGCGGGGAGCCAGGCTCTCCTGAGTTGTAGAGTGAGAAAGGGAATTCTAAATAGCATAGCCAGGGGACTGTCACCAGGGCTGTGGAGGAGGAGGAAGCAGAGGGGTCCTCCTGATGTGTCATTAACACCTGCAAGGTCTGCTGAAGGGTTGGGTACAGTGAGGGAATGAGGAGACACACGTGTCCCAGGGTCTGGGCTGCAGCACTGGGAAGGACGGGATCTATTTCTCAGGTGAGAAAAGCTGCAGGTTTCTGGGGAGGCTAAGTCGAGCCTTGTGGAATTCAGGCTGACAGACCTGTCCTGCGTCCAGGAGGAAGTGTGGGGCAGGCCATTGCGTACAGCCTGGAGCCCAAGAGAACAGTCTAGAAGTAGAGAGAAAAAGTTAGGGGCTGGAGCTGGGGCTCAGGGGTAGAGCGCCTGCCTAGCATGTATGAGGCCCTGGTATCCTGAGCACCATATATAAAAACAAATAAGGGTATTCTGTCCACCTACAACTAAAAATATTTAGCAAAAAAAAAAAAGACCTTAGGTATCATGAGCAAACAGCTGGTAGAGAGAAGGCATGAGACGAGGAGGCTCTCAGGTTGCGTCACTATCAGGGATGGACCATGGCGTGCTCCAGAACGACAGGTTGAGCAGGAGCTGCATGGGACAGAGTGGCTCAACAGGTGGGGGTGCCCCTCACCACCTTGCAGGCTCCAGGGTGGGAGGGGTGGGGCAGTAGAAGAGGCTAGCTGGGGAAGCTTCACTTCAGTGGGGCACAGTGGACTGGGGCCACCAGGACTTGGGGATAAAGGTCTCATGGCTTCTGTTTGGCGTTTTCAGATGGGAGTGAGAGAGAACTTCCTGATGCTGATGGGGTGATCCAGAGGGAGGGCGCAGTGACGGCACATGTGTCTGGGTGGGGACAATACTTCAGAGGAGGGTGGCAAGGGAGGGGTCTGGGCTTTGTGTCCGGGGCTGGAGTGTGTATATGGGGATGACGTCATCACACAGAGGGGCATGACATGCCCCGTGCACATGCTTATCCTATGTTCTGGCCGCAAGAGCCTTTTCTAGGTTTTCCGGAGAAAACCCCACCCTCTGCCTCACCATAGCCTGGGTGCTGGGAAATGGCACCTGCAGGGCTTGCTCCTTTCCCCCGGGGTTCTTCCCTCCTTGTGCTTTCCCAGTGCTCCTTAGCACCCCCTTCAGAAAGAGGAGGATCCCTGGGAACTCAGATCCACTCTGTCATTGATGCCACTTGTGAAGTGTGAAGGCTGCTGACTGTACCCAGCTGCTGAGCCTTTAGATCATTTTCTTCCCATAAGCCGTTTGGGTCATTGATACCACTGTGCTCTTAACTTTCAGTGTCTGACTCCGCCATCTGCCACTTGTGGGTCGTCATAGAAACACCCCCCACCACACACACACACCTGGACCTTAGTAGCACCAGGCAGTCTAGGGAACAGGGTGTCCTCTTGCTCCCCGTTTCTGTGCCATGGGCATGACTTATTGTTCCAAACAGTTTGGGTCCTCCATAGGTTTTTACATTTCTGTTGAGTGTCTTTCAAGTTCCTTGATGAGTGTGGTTGCCCTCGGTCTGCTGAGCTTCACTTTTCTTGCTTACAGGTACAGACTCTCAATGAGCAGGATTGGGAGCGTGCCCAGCAAGCCAGCGTCTTGGCAAATGTGGCACAAGCATTTGAGAGTGACCTTGATGTGTCTGATGGGGAAGATGACAGGGACACTCTGCTCAGCTCAGTCGACCTGTTATCACCCAGCGGGCAGGCTGATGCCCAGACGCTGGCCATGATGCTTCAGGAGCAGCTGGACGCCATCAACAAGGAGATCAGGTGTGTGAGGGAGCTCGTCAGCTCAGAAAAGCCAGGGAAGTTGGGACTGGCATCTTGTAGGTATTCCGCTTTAAGAATTTAAGTTGTAGCCTGGCTTGCTTGCTGTGGGAGGTGAACGTATTAAATCTCTTCCCCAGATACCCATGAAGCACCTGGAGAGAGCCGGGGTGCAGGGTGCTCAGTGCCCCTTGGTGGGGGTCCTGAACCGGTCTGCTCCCCTGCTGTGCAGGAGTGTACCTGAGGTATAGATCTGCAGTTGTGCAGGGGCTGGGTGTGCCCCGGGGAGGGAGGGACTGGAGCCTTCAGTGGACAGGACCAGCTGGTGCCTTCTGTTGCCTCACGCCAGGCAACAGGGGCACTGGGCAGGAGCAAAGGCAGAGGGTGAGGCTGGTCGTGAGAAGCCTCTCCAGCCTTCATGTCCCTGAACTCGGGATACCTCAGCGCTGAGCAGGTGCGGGTGCCCATCCTGTCGCCAGCAGGCAGTGGAGGGCTTGAGGTTGTGCATTCCCACTCCTTGCCCTTCCCTGTGTTGAGTTGCACAGCACATGAGGTCGAGGTTCAGTGGCACCCTGAGGTACACCATTAGTGTCTCATCACACATCAAGTTAGTGGTGGCAGCAGGAAGTTTACAACCCAGCGGCTGGAGTGGAGTCCAGGAACTGTCCCTGATGATGATGCTCACAGGGCCCTCTCCGGGGCTCAGCAGTGTCAGGGCCCACAGCCTGGCCTGGATTGAGATGGAGAGCAGCATGTGGCCCTGTTGGGGAGGGGTGGTATCCTCTTGGGTGGTGGCTGTCCTACTGCCTGGACACTGGGCTGCCTGTGGTCCGGACACAGACCAGCCTGCAGGTGTCGTGTTCAAGACCAAAGGGCTCAGGAAGAAGAGCGCCACCCTGGCAGGAAGCGAGAAAGGAGAGTGGCCTCGACCTGGCAGGAAGTGTGAAAGGAGAGTGGCCCTTACCTTTAATTCTTCACAGCGTGCTGCTGGGTGAAAGTGACTGTTCTCTCACTACAGGTCGCCCTGGTGTAAATGCTAAGGTCTCTCCACTGACTTGTAGATTTCCTTCTGTTGATAGTGACTTTTCTTAGGATACCTAAGAGAACTTGACTCTGGAAGGGTTACTGCAAGGTTTCTGTGTTAGCATAGTCTGGTACTAAAATTGCTACTCCCTCATGCACAGTGCTGTAGAAGAGAAGAACGTTAATCTTCACTTCCACATTAGTGTAGCCTGAGACAATGACACAGATCCAGGAACCCACACAAGGCTGATAGAGAGGTCCATTAGGCAGTGGTCATGTTCAAATTCAGACTTGAAAAGCCCAGCCTGTTCTTGTTTAGTCTGGTGGGTTAAATGTTGGGGACTCTCATTGCCTTGGGCACCAGTTCTTTTGATCAGACTTCCTGACTTCAGTGAGGGTGCGTGTGGATAAATGGACAGCTTCCCTCTGGGGACAGGGAGGTAAGAGCTGTGGAGTCCAACTGTCTCAATTAGGGACCGCCACAGAAAACGTCACCAGCCAGCCTCCTCCAGAATTGTGGAGTGGATAAGTCAAATGACCCGTGGTGCCACTAGAACCAATCTAACAAGACTCAGTGGAGATTTACCTTTCCTTGCTCTAAATCCAGTATGTTAAAAAAGATAAAAAAGTAGAGGATTCTGCTGGAGCCCCTTCCGACTGGTGGTGGCTTGCAGTCATCAGCGTATGAGCAGAGTTTTCTTTTTTTTTTTAAAGAGAGAGAGAGAGGGAGAATTTTTTTTAATATTTATTTTTTAGTTATTGGCAGACACAACATCTTTGTTTGTATGTGGTGCTGAGGATCGAACCCGGGCCGCACACATGCCAGGCAAGCGCGCTACCACTTGAGCCACATCCCCAGCCCATGAGCAGAGTTTTCATCTGACTGTTTGCTAATAGAGGGAGGTGACCACTTTTGTTTTTGTTTTAGGTTGATACAGGAAGAAAAGGAAAACACAGAGCAGCGGGCAGAGGAGATCGAGAGTCGAGTCGGCAGTGGAAGCTTGGACAACCTTGGTCGTTTTAGATCAATGAGCTCCATTCCCCCCTACCCTGCTTCCTCCCTCGCTGGCTCCTCCCCCCCAGGCAGTGGGCGCTCCACCCCAAGAAGGGTCCCTCACAGCCCCGCTCGGGAGGTGGACAGGCTGGGCGTCATGACGCTGGTGAGTGGGGCCTTCCGGGCTGCCCGCCCTAGCGCACCTGTGTGGCTGTTGCTGGCTGTGCATTTGCCTCTTGTACGGCAAAGGAGGTCGGGTATGATTGTCACCCTAAGTGGTTCAGGATTTTTCAAACTAACCTAGTACTCAGTCATTCAGCTTTACCGAGTGACTTTAATATTGGGTGGCCAGTTAGCCAGCCATCGTGTGTTGGTGTGACACTGGGCATGGGCTTTGTACAAGGCGGACAAAAAGGCACTTGTCCAGCTCTGGAGGTCAGACAGTTAACAAGAAAGAGGAGCGCAAGAGCCCAGCATGGAGCCACCATGCATAGCACGAGGTTGTGACTGCCTTCTGCTTTCCAAGATGCAGGTGGGCACCTTCTGTCAACAGCTGGCTCCCTTCTGTCCTGGAGGTGCAGGGACCTTGTGCTGTTGGCAACACTCATAGACCTGAAGAGCGTTAGTGGCTCTCCTGTCACCTGGGTTGCCTGAGGCCTTGCTTCTTTGTGGCACTTGCACAGTTTTCCTGTTGCCGGCCTTTCCATTTCAGTTGCCCTGGGAGCCAGCAAGTGGTTAGCCAGTGGTGGGCTAAGTGGCAGCCTGACTGGTGGTGTTTGACACAGCTTGCACACTCTGCAGCCCTGACTAGTTAGGGACATTTTAAACTCCCTGACAGCCTCATCCGTGGTTCTTCTCAGCTTTCCCAGGCGGCTTGTGGCCTGCCTCCTAGTTCTGTAATCCAGAGTGCTGGCTGGCAGTCTCTCTGCCTCCCTGTTGGTTTTGATTTCCTTCGTCATCTTGCACTGTCGCATCTGTAGTGGGTTGGTCCATGTAGCTGGGTTGGTAGTGGGTTGGTAGTGGTCTGTAGTGGGTTGGTCCATGTAGCTCTCCTGCTGGCCCATCCCTATGCCCTCGAAAGTGCATCTGTGCTGGACGAGGGTGGCTAGTGCATAGTTGGGCTTTCTCTTGTTTTTTAAAAAATGGGTATTTTTAAGTAGGTGCAGGCATAGTGCACGTGATTCTTACTCAAACTGCTTAGGAGCTGCATGATTCATCAGTGAAGTGTTTCCTGTATTAAGAAGCAATCTAAGTGTAGAGTGAGTAGAAATTTTACAGGTACACTTTCTGGCTGTGGTGGTTGTGCTCAAGATAGGAAATCTCATCAACTCACTGAACGCATCCCACTGCCTGTATTAGATGTTTTAAAATTAAAATATCTTCCATGAGTCATCAGATATGAAGATTCTACACAATTCCATGCTAACTTTTGCTCTTATATATTTGCACAGAATACCTTGCTTTAAATAATAGATTTATTTATATTTTAAATATTTTTTTAGTTGTAGATGGATACAATACCTTTATTTTATTTATTTATTTTTATGTGGTGCTAAGGATTGTACCCAGGACCTCACACGTGTGAGGCAGGTGCTTTACCACTGAGCCACAGCCCCAGCCCCCCAGGGTAGATTTATTTCTGAGAAGTTGTAAATCAAATTTTAGGTAACGATTTTACATTAATGTCCAGTAGATGATTAGGTTTGTTTGATTTTATAATAGGTCTTGCAGTGACTTCTTGTCAATTAGAATAACACTTTTAATTACGATGTTTCTTACTAAAAAAAAACCAAGTGGTGGAGAGATTTGGCTTAGAATAGGTGATTATCAGGGCCCTCATTATACAGAATGCCAGGTTTTAATAAATTGCACATGTTCAAATAGAATTTTACCTGGATAGTAATTTATCATGTTTCTCTGATGACTCTCAACTGGTTTTTGTTTAAATTCATGGTGGAAAATGTTCTATCTCAGCTGTTTTTCTCTGAATTCTCTCATGGATGCCTTTGCTATTATTCTGTCTTACTCTGTGCTAAACCTGGAGTCTTTGGACTGTGCAGTAAATCTGGCTTCTCTCCATTTCTTTGCACGCATCCGTCAGCCTAGCGACTTACGGAAGCACCGTAGAAAGGTAAATCACTTGTAACCTAACGTGCCATGAAGAATATCACATTTTACATGAGTGTGACGCTCTGCCATTGTGTGATAATGAATAACTTTTTAAATATTTTTTAAATTATCAATGGACCTTTGTTTATTTATATATTTATATGTGGTGCTGAGAATTAACCCAGTGCCTCACACATGCTAGGCAAGTGCTCTACTACTGAGCCACAATCCCAGCCCCCCCGAATAATTTATGTTTTAATAGACATGTTTAAGCCAACCCAGCACTTCACATGGGACTGTTCTATTGGACATAGTCTGTGGGACCCTGGGAAAGTAGAAGGGTTTGCTGTTTTCCTAGTGTTTTGGGTCTAATTGTTGCATGCTTTGCTCTAATAGACATAGCAGTTGAGATTTAAATACACGGCCCGATGGGAGCAGAGCCGTAGCAAGTAGTTTGGGGAGAACAGTTCACTGACAGCGTTGCGAGGCAGCAGTCAAATTGGCCTCCACACTGTCTTACTAACCCTCATGCACATCCCTGAGAGGCAGGGACCCTGTTGGTCCCCAGGTCCAGCTGTGAAAACTGTGGGAAGGTGACAGAGTAGTGCCAGAGGGTGTCTGCAGCCCCATGGTGAGAGGAGGCGCTCCTACTAGCCACCACGTTGGAGCACACCCCCAATTCAGCTGATTTGCACTTGGGTTTGGGTTTTGGCAGCAGGAGCTGCTTGGTGAGGAAGCAGCACCCAGGGCACTTTAGTGTGCAGCCGGGAGCTCAGAGGGGTTCTGAGTGGGTGGCTGTCAGCTCAGCCCAGGTGTGTGTACAGAGAGCTGGGAGAGGCCAGGCGCTGCTCTGCTGCAGTGTCACTAGTCAGACTGAGGTGACTCCCACTTTCCTGGCGCTTGTAGAAGAGGCTGAGGTGAACTGGTGGGTGCTGGCACCATGCCCTGCTGAGCAGTGCAGAGGGCAGAGTGCAGCCTGGTTGTGAGCCACAAGTGTTCCATAGGGTGCTACTGTTAGCAGCTCTGCAGTGGGGCAGGCCTTGCTGAGGGACCTTGAGAGGCCATCATGTCTTTTCTTGGCAGCAGGGAAAGGGTGCTAGAAATTGAACCCAGAGCTTTGGGCAGGCTGTGCTTAGCCTGTGCTCTGCCACTGAGCTACACCTGAGCCCATTCTGGCTTTTTCTGTCTTATGATTAATATGATTAGGAAAAGATGCAGAGTTTACCAAGTTTCTGGTAAAGAGCATGTCTTACATGAACTCAGCTCCATGTTGCCCTGATCCACTTGGTTTATTGGAGCCACTCTGGAGCTGTACTGGGATCGGTGCACTTTACCTAGTCCCATTATGAAAGAAGCTCGCTGTTCAAGTCCTGTTGTGTGAACAGTCCCTGCCTTGTATGTTCCACGGAGTCTAGTCCTACTTCAGGCCCAGAAAATGCAAACCGCAAAACAGGACTGCCTGGACCTCAAAGGGCTTCACCTGTCGCTATGGTCACCGCTCTCTGGTCTCTTTTGGTGCATATGCACACGCAGTGGTCCACGGCAGGGAACCCTGTTGTTAGAGAGACCCTCTCATGACGTACCCAGGAGTAGTTTACCTAAGCCACAAGGAGCAAGCGGTTTAAATTGCTTTTCGGTGCTTCTGGTTCCAGTGTCCAGTCTAGACCCTGAGAAACCCATGCCACACATTGTCTGGGTTGGTTCCAGGCTGTTTGTTGCCTTTGTTTCCCTCATAAACAAAAAGGTACTGACACTTGACACAAACGTCTTTCCCCTCCCTCGAGTTCTGTGTTCTTCCTCACTGAGGGTGATGTTATCCTCTTCAGTGGATGAGGGTGTGGTTTGCAGACAGTGACCAGGTCCTGGCTGCTCTTCGGTGATTGTCCTGGATGTGCCTCGGGCTTTGGGGAGGGCAGAGCCTGGGGCTGAGGGAGGAGGTCGTGGCAGCCCTGTGTCTGCCTGGATCCCCAGGCTCACTGTCCTGGAGGCAGGCTCTGAGTCAGTGGCTCTGTGCTGTGGGTGCTCCGTGGTCCCGCTTCTCCTGGCCTGAACAAAGCCTTCTCTACTGGGTAGAAAGTATAGCTGACGGGTTTTCAAGTAGGTTTAGGATTATAATGTAAGGCTAAGGGCTCTGTGATTTTCTTTTTTTTTTTAAACAAACTACTGTTTACTAATCTTGCTCTTATTTTACCCCCTTAGTTACCAGCTTCCAGGGAAGAGGTACGAGATGACAAGGCCACTATCAAATGTGAAACCTCCCCACCCTCTTCCCCGCGATCACTGCGGCTGGACAGGCTGCACCGAGGGGCCTTGCATGCAGCTAGCCAGGAGGACATCAGGGACATACGAAAGTAAGCAGAGAGCTGGGCACAGTGGCACATGCCTGTAATCCCGTGGCTCAAGAGGCGGAGGCAGGAGGATTGCAAGTTCAAAGCCATAACTTGCTAATTTAGAGAGGCCTTAAGCAACTCAGCAAGACTCTGTCTCTAAATAAAATACAAAAAGGCCTGGGATATGGCCCAGGGGTTAAGCACTCCTGGGTTCAATCCCTGGAACCAAAAAAAAAAAAGTAAGCACTGAGGTCCGCAGCCACACCTAAGCAGGGTGCACTGCCTGGTCCCCAGAGCCTCTGCCCACCTGCTTTGCTCGTCATCCCTGATGCGGATGCCTCAAGAAACCTTAGTGTATCCAGGTGTGGGGGCACAGCCCACGACCTCAGCTGCTTGTGAGGCCCAGGCAGGAGGATGGCAAGTTCAAAGCCAGCCCTGTCTCAAAAACAAACAAAAGAGTAAAGAGGGCTGGGCATGTAGCTCAATGATAGGACACCCTGGGTTCAATCCCCAGTATAAGAAAATAGGCCCACTGAAAAGTAAATACAGCACATGGCATATATGATTGTTATAAGAATACACTATAACAATCATGATATAGAAGCTCTGTTTATGATCTCCAAGCTGTTTTAAATGCACCTGTGTCAATTTCATTGATAAAGTCACAGAATTGAAAATTTGGGACCTTAATGGGTTAATTAATCTTTTCTTGAAAAAAAAAAAAATGTGAATTTAGAGAATTACCAATGGATTCTAGTTGACAATTATTACCTAAAAGCTTTACCTACAAGTGATTATTACCTAAAAGCCATAGGCCCACCTAGCAGAAGAAGCCATGTGTTTGGACAGAGTCCCCTAAGATCAGCACTTTTAGGAAACTTCATTTCTCAGATTCTAGTAGGCTTCTGTCCTGATGGAGTGTGCTAGGAAGATGGTGGGTTCTGGATGGTGCCCTCTGCACCCAGGTCGGATGCCACATCATCCTTACCCTTGACTCAGTGCTTTCCGTCAGGAGGTCAGTAAGCTGGTGGCTCAGGCATTCCTCACACTACCATTTATGGAGCCTCTGCCCTGCGCCAGGCAGTGTGTGCTGGGGGCGCCCATGTGAGCCCGGACTACAGCCCCACAGGTAGCTTGCACTGCTCCTGCTTTCTGGCTAGGGGGAATGGTCCCTAGGGAGCCTGTGGAGCTGCTGGGAAGGTGGGGACTCACAAGGGTGTACTCTTCCTGCTGCTGCGCCCCCTTTCCCGCCGGCCTGGAAGTGTCCTCAGTGGCTGGAAGGAGCCTCTGTGCAGGAGGCCAAGTGCCACATCACAGTGCCTCATGGCTTTGGAGAAACGGGTCTCACAGAGCACCGAGGGGAGCCTACATGACTGCGTTTGGCAGCTGAGTGGGAGAGGGCTGGAAAGGTTTCTGGGAGTGTGAGGAAGAAATACCGCAAGTGCAGTGTGTGTGTGGAGTGCTGGGTCCTGCAGGTCCCTGATAAAGAGCCTTGTCTTTCCTTGAAGCTCCACCGGCTCCCAGGATGGCCCTGTGAGCAATCCCAGCAGTAGCAACAGTAGCCAGGACTCACTTCACAAAGCCCCAAAGAAGAAGGGCATCAAGTCATCTATTGGCCGCTTGTTTGGCAAGAAAGAAAAGGGCCGACCTGGACAGACTGGCAAGGAACCTTCAGGACAAGGTTGGTGTTTGCAGCAGCCTTCCGCACAGCCACGGGTGGGAAGGTCGGTGAGCTCACTGCGCCTGCTGGGTGACCAGGAGCCCCACACCTGTCCCAGCAGAAGGTTCTCCAGGGGGCAGTGGTCGCTCTAGGCCACATGCTCACAGAGACCAGCTTACCGCCTGGAGTTGTATGCGCTGTTGGGGTATGCTGAGAGCGCCTTCGGAACTCTCCACATGGTACTTGCAAGACTCAGCCTCTTGTTGGGAACACGCAGCTTTGCCAAATGGACTCGCTCTCAATGCAGGACTTCTCTGCTTCCTTGCAGTTGGTGTTTCAGAGACAGAAAACTCATCTCAAGATGCACTGGGACTTAGCAAATTGGGAGGACAGGCTGAAAAAAATCGCAAACTTCAGAAAAAGTAAGCTTTTTATCATTCTCCATCTCACAGTCAGTTTCCAGGGTTGACAGTGTTTGTGCTTTAGCTTTATCAGATACCTCTAGGTGTGTGTGTGTGTGTGTGTGTGTGTGTGTGTGTGTATCTTTTCAAGAGATCAGCCTAAAGCCTGGGTAAGGCTTTTTGAAGGACTGAGAGCATTTATAAAACTTTGAAAGAACGCACCTGTCAATACCCAGTCCACTTGGGAAGGTGGACTAGAGAGGGGCAGAGGAAGGGTTGGCTCTGCCCTGCACACTTAAGAGTCTGAATCCTGGCTCTGCCCGGGTCAGCTCTGTGGCTCTGGAAGTTTCTCAGCCGCATTGTACTTCCGTTTTCTCATCTGTAAGGCAGGATTAATCGGTGCTCATACCTTGTTGGGGGCCACAGCCCGAGTCGGAATGCCCCCTGGCATTTTGCCAGAAGTAATGCTTGAGAGGCGAGCCATTAAGATGATGCTGGATTGATTCAATTGTATATAGACCCCTGCTGTCCGCCTCTAGCGCCCGCTACTTTGGAGTTCCTGTTGAGTTCTCTGAGGGGTTCCGAGAGTGAGTGCATGCGCAGCCTGATGGAGGGAGTTCCTGGAGGGAGTTCCGGTTGGTGTGTGTGGTGTGCCTAGGAAGGCCGCATGGGTGGCGTTCGGGGGAGTTCAGAAATAAAGTTTGTTCCTGCTTGAGTGGCTCGTGATTTGTGCCCAGCCAGACTACGGCAATACCTCAAGTGGCTTTTGTCAGTTTGAGGGATGATGTGCACACACCCAGGGCTCTAAACTCTGCCACCAAGTCCTGCAGGAGCTGCAATGTGGTATTGCCCTGTGACTGTTGTGGGCAGTCTGGAGTGCCCTTGCTACACTGCTATTTCTCCTCCTTTTGTTTTTATGCTCTAGATTTTGTGATTTAATTATTTAGTTTTATTCTAAACTTCAGTTTTGAAGGTCTGGATAGCTCAGTGGTAGAGCATTTGCTTTAGCATGCATGAGGTCCTGGGTTCAGTTACCAATACTGCAAACAAACAACCAAAAAAAAAAAAAAAATCAAGCACCTGAATGTTATTTTTCTAGTATTAGGGATTGAACCCAGAGTGCTTTACCATTGAGCTAAGTCCTCAGCCATTTCTCTTTGAGGCAGTTCTCACCAAGTTGCTGGGGCTGACCTGGAATTTGTGATCCTCCTCCCAGGATTATAGGCGCTCCTGACACCACTCCTGACCATGTTTTCTCTTTCTAGGTGCTTTTTCTTTTTTTCTATTGGGGAATGAACCTAGGGACACTTTAACTGAGCCACATTCTCAGCCCTTTTTATTTTTATTTAGAGACAGGGTCTTGCTGAGTTGCTTAGGGCCTTGCTAAGTTGCTGAGGCTGACCTTGAACTCGAAATCCTCCTGCCTCAGCTTCCTGAGTTGCTGGGGTTATAGGTGTGTGCCACTGTGCCCACCCAGTAAATTAAGTCTTGATTCAGAAAAGAAGAAATAGTTGGAATGGCTTTGCACAGAGGCACAGTAGTTATCGGGGTGCCCTAGAGCAAGGGCAAGGAGGAGCAGTGTGTTTGCAGCTCTGGCTCTTCTCTGATTGGAGCAGGTGTGTGTGTGCTGACCGCGTTCAGAACCAGAGTCAGGTGGGTGCGCTGGCTGCCTTGACACAGTGTTGCCATGCGCTGATGAGGGAAACGCAGAACCAAACCCCTCGAGCAGTGAGACAGACAGTGCGACGTGCATGTGCCAGGAGCTTGAACTGCAGACAGCCCAGCTGAGCTGTCAAGTGACTGTCCCCAGGGCAGGTATAAGTGGAAGGAACTGAAAGTGGGGTGGTCGCTCCAACCTTGGGACAGGGTGAAAGTTGACAGGTTCTTTGGGAAACATCATGTGGCCGCTCCTCAGCGTCCCGAGGAACCCACAGTGGCCTGGTGCTCAGGGCCAAGGCCCCAGGATGGTGATGAGGCCTATGGATCCTTGGCCGGAGGCCAGGTGGCCTTTAGCCCCTAGAGTTTCCCGTTGTGGAATCTGCTTGCTGTCCTCCTGTTACTCAGAACTGGGAGGACTGTCACACCGTGGACGTCACTGCAGGTGAAACAGCATTCTGCTAGCAGCACTGCAGGAATGCTTAGACGCTGGCCCCTGTAAGTGGAAACTTGTAGAACCCCCTTGAGCACACAGTCAGATCTGAACATTCTACCCTGAACTATGGGAGAACGGTTCTGCATCACCTAGGTAGTCTCGCTTTGGCTATGTGAAGCTTAAAATAAATACTAGGTCTTTTGCCTCTGGAACTAGGCTAGGAAAATTTGCCCCCTAGATTCTGCTCATGAGTTTCATTTCACATCTTCCTACTTACTGTAATAAAAACGGCAAGTCTGTGGTGGTGCCACTTGTCCATCCCCCCTCTGCCCTCACCCCACCCTCATGTTCCACATGCGGGAAATCATATAAGTTTCCCCAAAGTTCTCACTGTTGTCTCAGTTTATTCTGTGATTCCCAGGAGGTGTGTCTGAGCACTTAGATTCAGGACAGCCTTGATCTGCACCAGTGTGTGCTTACAGTTAGGAATATCAAGGTGCCGCAAGAAATCAAGCTCTTGCTCAAAAGTGGGTAGGCAAGGTGAATCTTGACTCCTGCCAGAGGGCTAGCAGGTGCACCAGGGTGGCATGCCACCTGCTTATATCTCTAACCTAGTGCATCGCTGCCCTTCATCCTGGTTGGAGGAGTTCAGGTTGTAGTCTATGTGTGACTGGCTAATTTTAAAATTGTGGCAGGCAAAGGGAAGGGCTGTAATTAAAATGGCTATTGGATTAAATTAAGGCTGAATACTATATTCTGAAAATGGATCACTGGACTTTCTGTTTCTCACAGATCCCCTCACCCCTCCACCTCTCTCCTCCTCTCCCCCATCTCTGTCTCTCTTTTTTCTTTTATACCAGGGATTGAACCCAGAGGTGCTTAACTACTGAGCCACATCCCCAGCCTCCTCCCCCTTTTTGGGTACCAGGGATTGAACTCAGGGGTGCTTGACCACTGAGCCACAACCCCAGCCCTATTTTGTATTTTATTTAGAGACAGGGTCTTGCCGAGTTGCTAAGCACCTTGCCGTTATTCAGGCTGGCTTTGAACTCACAATCTCCTACCTCAGTCTCCTGAGCCCCTGGGATTACAGGTGTGCACCACGATGTGCCCTGCAGCCCTTTTTATTTAGAGACGGGCTTATTAAGTTCTTTCAGACCTAAGATGCTGAGGCTGGCTTTGAACTTGTGATCCTCCTGCCTCAGCCTCCTGAAGTGCCGGGATCACAGATGTGTGCCAACTGCACCCAGCCCCTTCTCTTTTTATACCTCTTTTTTTTTTTTAGAGAGAGAGAGAGAGAATTTCAACATTTATTTTTTAGTTTTCGGCAGACACAGCATCCTTGTTTGTATGTGGTGCTGAGGATCGAACCCTGGGCCGCACGCATGCCAGGCAAGCGCCCTACCGCTTGAGCCACATCCCCAGCCCTTTTTATACCTCTTGATTTCATTTTCATTGTATACTTTGGTGTTGCCATCCATCCTAGACTTTTAGGTGGAAATCGTCCATGGTAATGAGCTCTCCCCTTCTAGCAGTTTGGGTAGCCATCTTTGATCAGGAGTACTTGCCAAGGTCCTTTCCAGCCTAATTGAAGCTTCTCTTTCAGGTTTTGCTTCAAACAAAGTCTCCAGGCTGGCAGTGATAAATTGCAGACTCCAGAAGGGGAGTCTAAGCAGCAGCTCCTAATAACCATACGGGGGGGTGGGGGACACACAGATAGGTCTCCAGTTGACTCAGAACAGACTATGACTCTGACAGAGCTTTTTGTGGTATTTGTTAAGCACCCATATTTAAAAACCCTTCCTTTAAACTTCCAGGTTTTACTTACTTTTGGGAGGACTGACACAAATGTACATCTCCAGTTATATTAAAAGAACCATTGTCTTTCCTTTTAAATGCCCATGGATGGATGTGCTTTGGTTATACCCAAGTGATCAAGACCAAGTTGGTCAACACTGACCCTGTCCTTGTCTACTCTTAGGCTCAACTGAGATTCCACAGGAGGACTCTTGGGACCGTGTGAGAAGCCTCTAGGCTCCTTAACCCTTTCCTCTACCAATTATACCATCTGCCAGGATGGATCAGGGTCTTGCTGACCACACATGGCTTCCCTTGGAAATCAGGGACATTTCCCCCTCCAGTGACCCTCCTCTTTGCAGAAGCCACTGGTTGGCTCTCCATTCTTTAGGGTCCTCTTGATCTAGAGGTCAGGTGACTCACCAGAGTCATAGCATTCTCCCTTTAGAGGAGTGCCATCTTTCCCTGGGTCCTGGCTCACCTCAGAGGGCAAGGGCCAAAATATTGGATACTTTTTCCTTGGCCTTTTATTTCCTTGCCTTTGGTTCCCAAGTTTGGGTCTTAAACATCCAGCAGGTCAGTCTCACCATTGACTTTAGTGTCTGTGATCTTGTAGTTGTCTGTTCCATCTAACTGGGACTAGGGTTCATAAGGGAGATCAGCCTTATGTTCTGCTCTGTCCTATATGTGATGGCTTATTATCTTGAATTAACTCAGGTCGATCTCTTAGGAGAACCTGTTTCAAACCACTGACTTCTAAAAGTTATAAAGTTCTATAAGGAAAGTACAAAATGAAATTAACAAGACAGAAAAATATACTCAGTTTGTATAATAGCTTTAAACCAAGAAACATAATTTCTGTAATAACAGTGATATAGCTTTGGTATCTATTTTGTCTCCACAACGACATATAGATTTATCAACTCAATCACATATGAGACCCTTTACAAATTTTACTTTGTTTTAACACTCCCTTATCTTAAAACCTCACATACCTTTTATAATTTTCCTAACCCTTTAACTTAGTTTTGTATTGTATCCCTTGGTTATTTAGAAATCACAGTGATTTTTCTTTCAATAAGTCTAGCCTCTTTACATGGAACCCTCCTGACACAGGGCAGGGTGCGAGGCA